GCAGGTGAAAGTGAAGGCGGGAGGCGTGCTACCGTGCAGTTTGCGCGCGGTCCTAGGGCCCCGAGCCCTGCCCGCCCCAGCCCCCACTCCAGTCCTGAGTCCCCAGGTGCCGGAGTCCAGTTACCGACCCAGACAGGCCTCGCCCGGAGACACAGACACGCTCCGAAGGGACACAGAGAGACCGGCGCGGCCCCTCTGGCCCTTGGGCTCCCTCGCAGAGACCCGCGGATTCACAGGGATATGCTCACTCCGCAGGAGGCACTGCCAACCCATCAGACCCGGGAGAAGACACCTGAACAGACACTGGCGACTCACCCAGGGACACTTGGGCAGACAAGTCCCCCACTGGCGGATGGGCCAAGGGACACCCCGGACAAGTGCACAGGAACCTGCAGACAAGCCAGGAGCCATAGGCAGGACCCTATTGCCCCTTGGCCTCCTACACAGGGGAGATCCTTGAGTCCCCCAGAGCCCACAGAAGCTCCGACTGACTGACAGGCACCCAGACCTGCTTGGGGAAATACTCCCAGACCCTCCCTGCCCCTCCCCCTTTGACCACCTTAGCCCTGAGTGCCACACGTCAGAGGGTGCACACACTGTCACACCAGGACGTAGCCATCCTGACTCAGTCACCCCCGTGACAGATACATTCTGATGCACACACACACCCTCAGTTCACAGGACGCTGAGACGCAGCAGGCTACACTCACACACACTCTCCCCCACATACACCCTCTGTGATCACGGTCCTCAGATTCACATCCGAGACCGCAGACACTCTGAGCTTCAGCATAAGCAACAGGATGGGAAACTCAGGGCAGTGGGTCCCCCACCCCCAACCAGGCCCCCCAGGGCCCCACTTTCCCAGTAGCTCCCAGCTCTTTCATGAAGCAGCCTGCTGAGACAGCCCAGAGTCTCAACCCCAACAAGGGCCCTATGTTCTCAAATGGTGTGGGGCAAAATCCTCGAATTCACTGATCTAGTTCCTCAACCAGAGCATGGAGACAAGAACCCTCCGGTTTAGATAGTTCTAAGGATTAGAACAAGGGTATTTATTTATTTATTTATTTATCGATTTTGCTGCACAACCAACTAAGCAGCTTAAAACTAAAAATCATCTTTTAGTGGACAATTCTGCAAGTCAGAAATCTGTGCAACCTCAGCTGCACTCTCTGCTCAGGGCCTCACAAGGACATGCCCGGATTGGGCTCTTTCCTGCAGCCTTTGGAGAGGAATCATCTGCCCAGGTCATTTGGGTTACTGGCAGGATTCCTTTCCTTATGGTTGTAGGACTGAGGGCCCTGCTTCCTTGCTAGCTGTCAGGCAGGAAACCATCTGGGCTTCTAGAAGTGGTTCTCTGACCCTTTCGGGTGGCCTCACCTTCTTCAGGCCAAAAGCACAACGTGGAAGCCCTCTCATCCTTTGAATCTACACACATACACACACACACCTCACTTACCAGCCTGAAAACATGCTTTAATTGTAAAGGCTGTGTACACAAGACACGCTTTGCTCTCCCTGTATCTTTTTTTTTTTTTTTTTTTTTTGTGGAACTGGAGATTGAACTCAGGCTCTTGCGCTTGCCAGAGAAGCGCATATTCCACTGAGCCATCTCCCTGGCCCCTCCCTGTATAATATTCTTTGATATGCAGTATAATCACCACAGTGATGTCTTTCCCCCTGCCTTCAAATAGGAGATTATTATACAAGGGCAGGAATTGCTGGATGGTTGTTACAATTCTGCCACCATCCATGGAAAACACAATGGAGGTGCTCCTGCACCCTCTCCCCTCCCCAGGAGCCAGACCTGGATCTTGAGAGTGGTGAGGCACAATAGTTAAGAGCGTTCTCCACACAGCGTCCCCCTTTTGGTAAATGGCAGCTCTATTTTTGTCCAGCTACACAGACCACAAGTCTTGGAGTCATCTATGATTTTTACTTTTCTCTCTCATACACCCATTCAATCCATGAGTGGTTCCTGTCAAGTCTATGACCAAAAAGTATCTAGAAACTGACCATTTCTCTATTCAAAGCTCTTCCATGGCTCCCATCTCCTCAAAGTCCAAGTTCTACAGGATCCTGACTTCCTTGGCCCTGCCACCTCTCTCTCTGCATCTCCACCACGTCACCATTGTTCATTCAGCTCCATGTCCAATAGATTTGCTGCCCACTAGACTTTCACTCCTGGATCTATGCTCAAATTTCGCTTCCTACTAAAGTCTTTCTTCACTGTCCTTTTGCCCTTTATAGAGTCACACAGTCCCCTCCCAGGTCTGGTGAGATAGCTCAGTGGACTAAACACCTGATTAGGCAAGCGCAGGGATTGTCAGTTCAATCCCTAGCACCACATGCTACCCCAGCCCCACCCCGGGGTGCATTCTATTTACTGGGTCGTGCCCCTCCCACTTCACTTTCACCTGCCGGGGTCAGGTCACCAATTCCAGGTGACCAAGTCCAGGAATGGTGGTGCATGTCTGTAATTCCAGTGCTGGGGAGGCTGAAAACACAAGGATCACTACAAGTTTGAGCTGTGTAGTGAGACCACATACCAAATGCATAGAAAATTAAAATAAAAACCCTCCCAGAAACACCAAACCTTCCATATACTGCTGTAGTCTTCTAAGTAGCCCTATGGCCACCTGACACATCTTATATCT